GGTCCGAATCGGTCAAAGAAATGTTTTTTTTTTATGTTGGATCCCTTGTTTCACTTTCAGTGTTTACAATCTTTAAGGGTATTTTGACCAAATTGAACCAAACTTACGGCTTATAGTGAAATAGTATTTCATTATTCCGCTTTTGTAACTGTTTGAAACAAGTCTAAATGGCAGATAATGCCCCTTTAAAGCCTAAAGCAAAATTGACCCTTTAGTGATTTATATTTTTTTGTGCTTTCAAACATTTGGTATTTCGGACTTTCCAAACATTCTGCTTTGAGCATACCTGATAAAGATTACTCCAGAAACACGTGTGTGTGCACGAACATTATATCATATATATTAAAAATTTTAAATTCCAACAAGGACAAGATTAACCAGTAAGTACTTGATAAAGAATATATTATCAACTTTCTTCAGTTCCTACCAAACAATTAATCCATTTCAGTAAATTATATGTCCTGGTTTGACACTATACGTAGCTGGTACAGGGCCATACAGGAACATAAGGATTATCCTATACATGTTATTCATTACGAAGATATGCAACAGGTATGGTAACCATCATCACATTATATAAGATATGCAACAGGTATGGTAACCATCATCACATTATATAAGATATGCAACAGGTATGGTAACCATCATCACATTATATAAGATATGCACCAGGTATGGTAAACATCATCACATTATATAAGATATGCAACAGGTATGGTAACCATCATCACATTACATAAGATATGCACCAGGTATGGTAATCATCATCACATTATATAAGATATGCATCAGGTATGGTAACCATCATCACATTATATAAGATATGCATCAGGTATGGTAACCATCATCACGTTATATTAGATATGCACCAGGTATGGTAATCATCATCACATTATATAAGATATGCATCAGGTATGGTAACCATCATCACATTATATAAGATATGCATCAGGTATGGTAACCATCATCACATTATATAAGATGTACAGTATATGTCAATAAGACAGCATTCAAATAACTTTACATACAAAAAAACTCCTAATTGCAACTATACACGTGCCAAATATTCCACACTTAATAAGAAATCCTACACAGTCATAGTCTGTTATATGTTCACTTGGTATTTCAATCATAGATGTATAACTGGATGCTCTTTCATATTGGATAGCCAAATTATAAATTGAGTGACATTATAATTCAATATTATCGCTGTATTTGACAATCTCTTTTTACATTAGTAGCATATGTTAGTTAACTTTGAAACTGCATACTAGCCATCCCCATGGAAGATGTGAAACAAATTTGGAGATCCTCAATCCTTCCTCGTTCTAAACTTAAAAACAGATGAAACCAAAGTGCTTGTGAGCACTGAATGGTAAAGTTTGCATTCATTTTACAGTGTGAATTAAAAATTAAACCTTGAACTGTATTAAGCATTGGAAGGCAACTACAATTATGGACAAATGAAGATAACTCAGAATTTAATATTACTATAACAATGACATTATTGATATTTTTATAACAGATAGCAGATTCTTGCACCATGCACAATTCATGTATTTTCTTGACAAGAATAGTTATACACATGCACATCATTCTGTAACTTAAATATTTGAGTCTATATTTCACTGATCAATTTCTTGAAATGTTCATAGTATGTAAAGAATGTTGTGCCCAATGCACTATATTTTGTTCATCTCAAAGGTAGTGATAAAGTCTAGAAAATTTATAACTATCAAGACAGTCACATAAGGGTTTTGATTGCAGGAATGCAATCTTTACCCTAAAAAGAGTATAAATTTGTTTCACAACAAAGAATCGCCAAGTTAAAAACTATTGTCTTGTTATAGGAAGTGGCAGACCAAACTTTTTAAAAATCCACTACGATTCTGGCATAAAAACTGACGACATCAAGATGCTTGATTTTTTATACGACCGCAATTTTTTTCGGCCGTATATTGGTATGACTTTGTCGTCGTCGTTGTCGTCCGAAGACATTTGGTTTCCAGACAATAACTTGAGTATAAGTGTATGGATATCTATGAAATTGCACTACAATGTTCCATACCAAAAAAGGAAGGTTGTAATTGATTTTGGGGGTTATTGTCATAACTATTTAGGAATAAGGGGCCAAAAAACAAGCATTTTTCTTATTTCAGGTCAATAACGTGTGTACAAGTGATGGATCTCTATAAAGTTGTACCACAAGGTTCCATACCTCAAAGGGAATGTTCGAAATTGATTTTGGTTGTTATGGCCCACACTGTAAAGAAATTAGAAGCAAAAAAATAAGGATTTTCTGGTTTCCTGACAATAACTCGGGTATAAGTCCAAGGATCTCTATGAAATTGTACCACACGGTTCCATAACAAAAAAAGAAGGTTGGGTTTTTCTAATACTATAAATTGCTTATTTCTTGACCAATTTCAATGGGGTGTAATTCAATGTCTTGAATTCTTGGGATTCTTTAATATTCTGAATATTACCGTGTATTTAGATTTTTGATTGTGGGCCCAGTTTTCAAGTTGGTCCCAAATTAAACTTTGTTTGATTTCATGAAAATTGAATTCTTGGGGTTCTTTTTTATGCTGAATCTAACCATATATTAGATTTGGATATTGGACCATAATAGGTAAATGTCCAATTTAAACTTTTTAAGTTCTTAGACCACATTCATTCTGTGTCAGAAACACATGCTGTGTCAAATATTTAAACACAATCCAAATTGAGAGCTGTATCAATATGAATGTTGTGTCCATACTTGCCCCAACTGTTCAGGGTTCGACCTCTGTGGTCGTATCAAGCTGCGCCCTGCAGAACATTTTGTTCTAATCGGCAACATATTTATTGTGTTTGTTCGACACCTTTCGCGATACACTATCGTCATTCCTTTGGAAACCAATTATGACCTTGTTCCCTTATTCGTATGAAACAGACTTCATATATGAGCTTCTTAAAAAAATTGAAAAGAATCTATACACCCTGTATTTTCAAGTTTCATGCTTAAGGTGATGTCCTTCTGTTGAATAATTCAGAGTTTTGTGATTTGTTTATTTCCTTTAGAAAAAAAGAAATCTAAAGTTAACCTTGAACTTAGAATTCTGTATATAGTTGGTGTCCTCTCACTGAATAAGTTAGAAATCGATGTTTGTTGCATATTATATTGAACCAGAAATAAAAGATACCACAGATACAGTTTTGTATGCTTCATACCTTGGCCTACAATTTGACAGTGACGGTCAGTTAAGAACTAAACTTTAAGAAAAAAAGAAATAACTTGTGATTAAATATATATATAAGCATAGTAGATTTTCCATGTTCAGGTAGCAACATTCCAGTAAAACCTGCATATATAATATCTATCTCCTACTTATTTCAAGGAGCATTGAAATAAGTTGTCGTGCTTTATAAATATGAATAAAATGCAATTAGTATTCAATAGGTCAAACACTAAATCTACACCCAGTCAACATAAGTACTGAAGTAGTTAATAAATGTAACAGAGAATATCGAAGATATACCATAACCCAAGATTCCCTTCAGAACAAACCATGACCAAGTTCCAACCTTGATACAGGCACATATTAAACATGAGGTTGATTTTAACTAGACATTGAACATTCACTTTCACCCTTATTTATTCTAAGTCAATGGAATAATAACCAAAGGTACATATTAACACACAACAAAAATCAATTCAATTGTTTTGCGTGTTTGCTTATCATTTTTAGCATCAGTGTTTTAATTTCATCAACTTAATTTAATAGCCATTCTGCAATTTTCTAGAGTTTTGTATAATTTGTAGGCATTCCAACTGAATTATTCTAACTTGGAAAAGGAATAGCAAAATTGAGTTAAAAATTTTAAAGTTCAAAACTTGATACAGGACAGATGAATGCCTGATACAGGACACAGAGATAGAAAAACATAATGCCCCCTACTATTGTAGATGGGGCATAAAATAATCTTTCAGTATTCATAGCACATATTTTTGTTTTCAGAATGGCATCGAAGAAATAAGAAAATTAGCAACATTTCTAGAGAAACCATATGATGAAAAGTTGTTAAAAGATATCCAAGACAAGTGTCAATTTGAAGTGATGCAAAAGGATAAATTTCACCTTAAAACTCCTTGGAAAGAAAACACTGCTGGTATCTATAGAGAAGGTAATATATTATTTTGAATCCTTCATGATTAAAATAAATTAACAAATAAAATACGAATGTGTCCGAGGACACACATCCCTCCTCATAAGCTTGCTTATAATATGTGAAAATACCTTTGGGACGGACGGAAGAACGGACGAAAAGACGGACAGAAGGACGGACGGAAAGACAGACGGACGGAAGGACAAACGGTCAAGGGTAACACTTAATGTCCCCTTCACCTAGTGGCGGGGGGCATAAACAATTATTACAATTAGACACAATCTTTTATAAATTACATGGAAGGGAATAAATATGATACCAAGACCAGAGGTGAACTGGGACATACTATAGATATATAACAAAAATAATAAAAATGTTGTTTTATTAGGTCCCAGTTGTGAACAAATATTGTCACGTGATATATATTGACATCTAAAATAAATTGTCACATTTTAATCAACAAAAGATTATAACTCTAGAATAAATATTTATAAAGAAACTAAGATGGATATTGTAACATTCACTTGGAACTGTGGTAGGCTCTGTTAAAGATCACCATTTAGACTTTAACGGCTCTTTTCACAAAAAATCTTACAAGAGAGTAAAAATACTCGTAAGTCATGAGCATTTCAGTATAACTTACTATCAATTATAATCGTAAGATTTTTTGTGAAAAGAGTCGCAGGAGATTTCGAATTTGACAAATGTTATTGACACTAAGTCTTGACTATTACTAAAAATCCTGTCAATTTTTTAATCTTTTTTTTTTTTTTTTTTTTTTATTGTTCTGTTTGGTTGCTGTCTCATCGATATAATCAGAATGGATATAATTAAATATGTGTTTATTACAGGTAAAGTGGGTGGATGGAAGAAGGTTTTTACAGTAGCACAGAATGAAAAGTTCGATAAATTTTTTCAGGAAAAAATGGCTGATTTAAATTTAGACATTAAATTCACCATATGAATGATAAAACAATACATATGATTCATCTAACCTTATTGATTCAAAATGTATAAAATAGCTTAAAAAGACGCAATATTTACTAAACAGATTATAAAATTATAAAAAATTATAAAACAAATAAACCTTATAGTTAAAAAATAGACATTCTTGACACACTGAAACCTGTCATAAATATTAAACAGCTAAAAGGAAATAGACAAAAAGAACATGGAATGTAATTTAGCAGAGTTTTATCTTATACAATGTAGTGCTAGAGCAGCAGTGTATAAAATAAGCAGTTGCTTCAGTGTACACTTTTATATACATATTGTTAGACTTTATGAAACATTAAAGGAAGACTGTTGGAACATGCATGACAAAGAGACAAAAAAACTCATCAAAGATACCAGGAAATTACATAAAGTCAAGTATGGTCATTCTGAGTGTCCAGACTTAAGTCTGTGCATTTCATTTTATGGTTAATGTTATATAAATGGATTTCATTTCCATAAAAAGGCATCCATTAATTTTGATTTTATATGGTATATAGCAAAGTTAAACAGGCCTATAATTGCTTACTTCTACATCATTTGATCTATTGTGGAAAGTTGTCTCATTGGCAATCATGCCACATCTTATTTTTATATTTTGTCTTTTGTACCATAGTGTTAGTTCTGCTCTCAATTCCTGTTTAATCAATAAATTTTTCAGACTACATACAACCTTTTATGGTAAGACAGTGACTTCAAGTCAAGATTATGCTATTTTATTAATGTGGATTAACATTACCTTAAAAAGGATAGGACTTTAACCGAACTAGAGGCCAAAATTCCTCACCGTGCAAATTAACCCCTTAATTGCTCAAGATAATATCTGAGACATTTTATCTTCAAATGGCTTTGTTTTGATCATTCGCCTGAAATTTCAGCTTTTTCTGACATCATTTCAGACAAGGTTTTTGACAATCAGAATCAAAAATTTTTCTCTGGTATCCATGTTTTTCTTCCCATCAGAACCAAATAAGGATCATTTGTTGAAAACCTGCCCTACACGTTTGGTTAAATTTGACCTAGCAGTTTCAGCTAAGATACAAAAAGTGACAATTAATAAACAAATGTAAGAGTTAACTGTTATTTTTTTCAAGTTCTATCCTTCTTTTCTTCACTTCTGGTCCATCACCTTAAAAGCAAGAGTAATATTTTAAAGTTTCACTTTGGTCTATGATAACATACATCTACCTATATAATACAAAAATGTCTGGTTACTGATAAATCATTCATTAAGTCAATATCCTTTACATGCCCATGTAAATCAACATAAAAAGAGATCACAATCTTTATCTTACAATATATATCCTATGATGTTGAACCCTAAATGTTTTGATCATTTTTGCTGTTTCCATGGTAACGGCGTCCATTTTGAAAATTCCAAAGTCAAATGTAAAGTCTGAGCATGCCAATTAACATTTCTGTAAAGTTTTATTGAGTTAAGAACACTTTCCATTTTTGCTGTTTCTATGGCAACGGCAGCCATCTTGAAAATGCCAACCCCGTTTGCACATCTGCCCATGCTGGTTAACATAATGGTATAGTTCCATTACAATTGGTGCATACAATTCCGAGATATAAGCTGGACAAAAAAAGTGTCACCCTTTCCCAATTGCCACTAAGCGGCAGCCATTTCAAAAATTTCAAACAGTGAATGCACATATATGCTTGGCTATACATCTTTCTGTAAATTTTCAAAACATTTAGAGCATTTTGAAATTTTACACATATTTGCTGTTTCCAGGGCAACGGCTGCCATTTTGGAAATTCCCAAGTCAAAAGTCCAATCTACACTTGCCAGTCAACTAACATAAAAAGTTTCAGTAACTTTGGAGCATTTTGAAATTGTTGACATTTTTGCTGTTTCCATGGTTACAGTAACCAATTCCAAAAGTTAAATGAAAGGTACCCCATTGGTACATGAGAGGGAACATACCATTAAAGTTTCACTGGGTTTGACCTACCATATTAAGAGAGGACATGCTACTTAAAGGTTTTTAGGGCATTTTGACCTTTTTTGCATTGTTTCCATGGTAACGGCGGCCACTTTGGAAATTCCAACTCCAAATGCCACATCTACAAGTGCAGCTCATCATTACTGTGAAGTTTCATCAAGTTTGAAGCATTTTGAAATTTTTGAAATTTTTGCTGCAGTTTCCATGGCAACATAGTAGTTTCGATCATTGTCAAAATCATCCAAAACCTGTATAAAGTGGACAAGTACGTTGTATAAAAATTTGATGATTTTAAGTTTAAGCATACCCAAATAATTCACCAAACCCTAAAATTTTATTTTTTCACCTTTTTTCGGTTTCCATGATGATGGCAGCCATTTTTTATTTCTAAAGTTGCACTGCAACTCGAAAGTCAGGGTTCCTTATTATAGTGAACATTTAGATTGGTTCCTTTAGCTCTGAGAAAACTCCCGGACAAAATTAGGTGGAAGAAAAAAAAATAATAATAATAATAAAAAATAAAAAGGAGGAAAAGCGATGTGTCACCCGACATTGTCGATCGGGTGAAATAATAACTAGATTTGTCATTGCAAGCAATAGCAGATGTCATCCTATACCCCGTTGCCACTAAGCGGCAGCCATTTCGAAATTTTTAAATAGTGAATGCACATATATGCATGGCTATACATCTTTCTATAAATTTTCAGAACATTTGGAGCAATTTGAATATTTGATATTTTTGCTATTTCCATGGTAACATGCACATCCCAGTCAACATTTCTATAAAGTTTTTCAAGTTTGGAGCATTTTGAAATTTTTGGACATTTTTGTATTTGTGCTGTTTCCATGGTTACAGTGACCGATTCCAAAATTTTAAAGACAGATGCCACATTGGCACATGACAAGGAACATACCATGAGAGAATCACGGAATTTGACCTACCATTTTAAATGAGAAAATTCTACTTTAAGAATTTCTAAAAGGGTCTAATGGAAAACGTCTCCCAAGTTTCCATGATAATGGCAGCCATTTTGGAATTTTTAATATGGTCAACACATCTAGGCATGCCAGGCAATATTCCCATAAAGTTTCATGCAGTTGGGTCTTATAATAAAAAAATAAATGGATTTACAATTTTGATTTCTTTTTAACATTTTTGCTGTTTCCATGGTAACGGCAGCCATTTTTTAGTTCCAAAGTTGCACTGCAGCTTTAAAGTTAGTGTTCCTTGTTATGGTAAACAATCATTGAGATTGGTTCCATTGGCTCTGTGAAAACTCACGGACAAAAGCAGGTGGAAGAAAAATAATAATAACTAGATTTGTAATTGCTAGCAATAACGGATGGCACCCTTCCCCTTTTGCCAGGTGAGCGGCAGCCATTTTGAAAATTTCAAAGTCAAAGAGTGCATCTACAGATGTCTATTAACATTGTTGTAAAGTTTCATTAGTTTTGGAGCATTTTGAAATTTTTCAAAATTTTGTTGTATCCATGGAAACAGCAGCCATTTTGGAATTTCAAAAGTCGAATACCAACTCGTGAAGTGCCACTTAACATTTTTGTAAATTTTCAGAAAGTTTGGAGCATTTGGATTTTTTTTGACATTACTGCTGTTTCCATGGTATGGTGACCATTTCCAAAATTCCAAAGACACCTACCACATTGGCACTTGATAAGGAACATACCATAAAAGTTTCAATGGTTTGATTTACCATGTTAAGAGTGTAAATACTACTTTAAGATTTTTCCAATAGGGTTTAATGCTAAACATATTTAGTTTCAATGGCAATATGGTAGTTCGAAAGATTCTCAAAATCGTCTAAAACCTGTATATAGTGGACACCAACAATATATATAAATTTGATGATTTTAAGTTCGGGCATACTAAAAAAATTCGCCAAAAACTAGAATTTTATTTTTTTACATTTGTTCTGTTTCCATGGTAACGGGGGCAATTTTAAAAATGCCATACCCCGATTGCACAATTTTATATAGTGGTCCACATTATGGTATAGTTCAATCAATATTGTTCAAACTAATTTCGAGAAATAGCATGGACAAAAAAGTGTGGAAGAATAAATATAGCTAGATTTGCCATTGCAAGCAATAGCGGATGGCACCCTTCCCCCATTGCCAGGCGAGCGGTAGCCATTTAGAAAATTCCAAAGTCAAAGAGTGCATGCAATTTATAATTTTTGTAAAGTTTCATTAAGTTTGGAGCATTTTGAAATTATGGACATTTTTGCTGTTTCCATGGTTACGGCGGCCATTTTGAAAATTCCAACTTCAAAAACCAACTTTGACCATGCCAGTTATCATTTCTGTAAAGTTTCATCCTGTTTGGATCGTTTTCATTTTTTTTTATATCGAAAGAGTTAGAATTTTTTATATTTTAGCTGTTTCCATGGTAACGGCAGCCATTTTGAAAATTCCAAAGTCAAACTGCAAATCAGCACATGCCATTTAACATTCCTGTGGAGTTTCTTCCAGTTTGGAACACTCTGATTTTTTTCGCATTTTTGCTGTTTCCATGGAAACGGCGGTCATTTTTTACCATTCCATAGCAAGGTGCACAATTTAACATGGGGTCCTCATTATAGTAGAGTTCCATCAACATTGGTCCATTGGATTCCAAGAACTCGCGCGGACAAAATTTGTGCAAGAAAAATAATAAGAAAAAAAAGAAACGTAGAATAACAGTATGTCACCCCAACTCCGGTTGAGGGTGCCATAATAACTAGATTTGTAATTGCTAGAAATAACGGATGGCATCCTCGTTCCTCCATTGCCAGGATAACGGCAGCCGTTTTGATAATTCCAAAGTAGAACATCATATCTACACATGGCAGTTAACCATACTGTAAATTTTCGTATAGTTTGAAGCATTTAGAGAATTTTTGACATTTTGAATGTTTCCATGGTAACGGCGGCCATTTTGAAAATTCCAAAATCATACATCAAATCTGCACATGCAGGTTAACATTTCTGTAAAGTTTCATAAAGTTTGGTGCATTTTGAAATTTTTGTAGTTTCCATGGTAACGGTAGCCATTTTCAAAATTCCAAAGAGATCCCAGTTTGACCAATTACATGTTACATACCCATAAAGTTTTATTGGGTTTAATCTTATATTCTTTAAGAAAATGCAGCTTTTGTATGTTTTCCCGTAGGGCCAATGTTAAACTTTCGCCCTGTTTCCATGACAATGGCGGCCATTTTGGAATTTCAAAATATAAAATTTTTATCTAGGCATACCAGTTAACATTTCCATAAAGTTTCATCCAGCTGAGTCTTATAATGAAAGATTTGGATTTTGGATTTTTTTTTTTACATTTTTGCCCTTTCCATGAAAACGGTGACCATCTTGGACAATTCCATAGTCAGATGCACAACTTCACTTGGTGCTTTACATTATAGCATAGTTTCATCAACATTGGTTCATTCAATTCCGAGAACTAGCGCGGACAAAAAAGTGTGGAAGAAAAGTAAAAAGAAAAAAAAGAAACGTAGAATAACAATATGTCACCCCAACTCCGTTGAGGGTGCCATAATAATAAGAAAAAAAGAAACGAACAATATAACAATATGTCACCCCAACTCCGTTGAGGGTGCCATAACTAGATTTGCCATTGCAAGCAATAGCGG